ACTGTTTAAGTTGGATATAAATTATAAGTTCTTTTATTCAATAAAAATACATTTCTCAATATATGACTGTTTTAAGTTGGAAATTTTTTATTCAATATGTTTTTAGTGTTCTTATTTAAATATTTTTTTTTTAAACAAATCAATAGAAAATTCATTTTTTAACAAAACAGTTTTTGTTTGTGGTAACCGTTAAATATATTGTTTAAGAAATAAAATTTTCAATAATTTTAATTATGGTTCCAATTTTTAACTCAATTAAGATAAAACTAAAGAAATTTGTGTACTAACTTGTTTTTTTTTAGCTTTTGGTAAATAACTCAATCATTACTGCTGTCGATATGATAAATATTCCAGTTATGGTAAAGATATGGTAAAGATATGGTAAAGATATAATAAAAATTTTTTTATGGGTGTAAACCCACTAACATTTTAATTTGAAAATGGTTTTGCGGCTTACCAGTTGAACCCTGTTAAATCAAACTACTCAAATTTGAGTGCAAAAGCCAAACAAAGTTAGTCGACAGTATAGTTTCAAAAGCTCTGGGGATTATGTACAAGACAAAATATCTTTTGAATAAAATAATATTCATACAATTCGCAACTCCCCCCCCCCCCCCCCCCATCCCCTTGTACGCGTTCATCCGCTTTTGGGAACCCCCCCCCCCCTCCTTCACAAATACCTGCGTACGTACTTTATGGATGGCTCCTTTCCAAAAGGTTTAAACTGATAATTAAAAAAATCATTACAAAACTTACTCGATAGTTATGTCATTATTACCATTATGTTATGCCGTTGGCGTATACTCCTCAAGCAGTGGAAGAGGAACCGGAAATAAAAAAGTATACTGATTTTATTATATAATTTATAAAGTGATTGTAATTATAAAGGCAAAGTTATTCAACTGTTATTGAGTTTAAATAATAATAAATAATAATAATAATAGCAATAATAAAAATAATAATAATAATAATAGTAACAATAATAGCAATAATAAATATTACAATAATGATAATAGTAATAATAGCAATAATAATGGTTGCCATTTATAATTCGTAATGTGCGTAAAATAGATTTAAAAATTCAATTTTTATGCATCTTACACATTACATTTACATTTTAATTAAAGAGAAATTGTTTTTTCGGTGTATTTTTTACTGTGAAACACCATTAAAAAGATGTTGCTTTTGAATTTCATTTATTTATTACCATTATAAAAGAATATTTCTTCTTTTTTTAATTAGATTTACAAAATATAACATATAAGTTTAATATATTTTTCAGTAACTATTAAACAGTAGTAAATATTCCACTGAGACACTGTGTTGCATTTTTAAAATGATCAAAATTAAGAGTTTTGTTTCTGCTACTAATGGTAATAAGTTATTAAATAACTGTTTTGAAGTTGCTCAAAAAATTGGTTTAGTCAGAAACATTCAAGAAGACACGGCTGTTTCACGCAATGTAAAATTGGGCATTACGTCACGAGTTTTAGGAAAAATAATTTCCGGATAAAAAGTTTTTTAAAAGTTTTGGTATATAAAGTATAAAAATTCAATAGCCACAAAGTAATGTTTTTTTTTTTTTTTTTTTCTATAAACGCTTTTGTGTTCTAATAAAAAAAAAATGAAACATCATCTTTCTTTGCTAAATAAATATTCTGATTAAACGGAATAAAAATAAAAGTTGTAAAAATATTGCTAATGACTTGGGATCACTTTTCTGTTTTTTGCGTATTTTATGTAAAACCTGTCTTGGGCGAATCAAGATTTGATATTTTAAGCTAAATGCTTTATGGTTGAAATTTTACATACTTATATAAACGAATGTCTATTTTATCAGATTTTTGGTGAACATGGATGAAAAAAAAATTTTAAGTTGGATTTTTTAGCTTTTATATTTTTGTTATTACTTGTTTTATATAAAAACGTTATATTTTTTTTAAGTTTACTAAAATATTGAAATTACAACCCTTTATGCACATGAAAATTAAAAAAATTACTTTCTGTACTTCTAACTAAAACGTCTTCAATCTTGGCAAAGTTTGTTGCTTTTAGCAACAAAATTTGCCGTTACATGCGTAAAATTTTTGTTTATATTTTAAAGCTTTAAATGCGATATTTTCCAATTCACTATTTAATAAAAAACAGCTTTTTTAGCGAGACAAATTTTAGTGTATAAATAAAACAAACTTTGGCAGGTTTTTCTCTCGTGGCTAATCTACAAACATCAGATAAGTTGTTTAATCCTCTGATATCTATTACAAACTTGTTATTTGTCAATAATTATTATTTGATTTTATTTGCTTGCTTTATATTTTTATTGAGAAGTTTATTTACCCGACAGCGACACTACGACAGCAAGGATGTAGTGGTCCCGCACTGGTCCAGTATAGGCTGCCGCGCTGGACCGGCATCGGCTGCCAACGCTGGCGAAGCTCCGTTTTGCTCAAAGGATTTTCATTGGACCAGTCGTGGCTAGCCAGTAATGGCAAAACAGCGGCTAGCCAGTGGGGGACAAGAACTGGCAGAACAACGATTAGCCATTTTTAAATACATGTTTTACATAAATATTTCACCGTACCATCGTGATTTTGTCTTTGTTAACTAACTGGGCCACGCATGGATTTTTATCGGGCAATCCTATTTGAAGTCCCTATATTTTCCTTTTAGACCCCGTCTTCTTAATTATTTAAAGTTGTTTTTAGCACAATCGACTGTAATCGATTTTTTGGTTTGATATTGGCGTATTTTTCATTAGTTAAAGGATAATAAAATGTATTTTAACACGTGATTATTGACAATTTTAATTATTATGAATAAATTTGAAAAACAGGCTTAAGTTTTAAAATATATTTACGCAATTATAATACAGAGATTTGATTCATAATCATTTGACAATGATGCTTTTCTGCGATTCATATTTAATCGGTGACATGATCCGTTATAAATTTCTGCTTCAATTAGTAACGTTATTGTCTTCTTTAGTTCTTGCATCCGTTTTAACTTTAATAAAATAAAAATAAACGTAAGCACAACTTAATAATTTGTTAAATATACTTATACAATATAGTAACAACATATATATATAAAATGGTAACAACTTATAAACAACATGGTTATCATGTTACAATAACAATTATTTTTTATTATTGAAAAAAAAAATTCAATCCATTAACAACAAACCATAGTTACATAGACTTGAGTTAAGGATCTTTTTATAGCTTTTTGAACTAAAATGTCAAGAATATCACAATGAAAATATACAATTACAACCAAATGCAAGATACTTACAAATATATTTATTAAAACATGAGGTACTTAGACTTTTATGGATTAAAACTCCATTAAAAATTTCATGTCTTAAGATTTGACATTTCATGATATTTAATTATTTCACAGCAGATTCTAAATAAAGTATATGACACGCAATTTATCATTTTATTATAAATAGATAACTTTAAAATGATGCTCCAGTATATACAGCATGCTACAATTTAAATATATAGTATATACAGTATGCTACAATTTAAAGCATCTTAGACATTTTTTTAATTTAAAATCTGTGAAGGTGGTTCTGGATGACATAATCTTATGACTTTTTGTGAGAATCTGCATTCTTATTGTAAAGTCAACAAAATTTGTAACTCTTATTGTATGTATTTTATTCACTCTTTTATTGTAAAACTTTTGAATAAATAAAAAAAAACAGAAAAAAAAAAAAAATTAAAATACCTCTCAATCTTCTTCAATATTTTTATACACAGAAATTTTATAAAACACAAAAACAATTTTATAAAACACAGAAAGTATTTTATAAAACACAGAAACAATTTTATAAAACACAGAAAGTATTTTATAAAACACAGAAACTATTTTTTAAAACACAGAAACAATTTTATAAAACACAATAAATCTAGTCATTAGTAATAGTAAAAATAAGGAAAAATTTATACAATATAAAGACAGCTACTTTATTAATCATTTAGAACGGAATCATGGAGATGTTCAACAAAGTTAACAAGAAACTGCAGTCCATCAAGCTTGGTATAGGTATGGTTGAAGAACTCCCTGGAACATTACGCACAGCAAATGCGTTCTGATTTCAAGCATTATAAAAAGGAAGCCGTGTCTTTAGTAAACTCGGATAAATCCGAGTTTACTAAAGACACGGCTTTACTAAAACCCGAGTTTACTAAAGACACCAACCAAAAGCATCAAAGAGGCATTGCGATGAAATTGACAGTGTTTTCTGGGCGATCTAAAATGATTGCCGACGTTAATGAGATCACGGACAAACTAATGAGTGATCTAAATAAAAGAAAGAGTGCCTGTACTGGAGTGAATTCTCTTTTTGGTTTTCTTGTGAATCTCCGCAGAATGGATATTTCGGAGATCACTTGCAGTGCACAAAAATAATAAAAATCTTAATTAATAGCAGTCTCGTATAATTTCCAATTTTTACAGTTCTAAATAGTCTTCTATTCATTCATTATATAATAGGGCTCGAACGTCTTTTAGGTCTTTCTATTGTTTAGATAGAAAATCGGGTGTTGGATTCCATCGACCTAGAAGATATCATTTCTGCATTTGCAAGCCTCAAATGCAGACGTAAGGTGTTTTAAAACCTATACTAATCGCTGCGTGTTTTTAATAATAAATGCGAGATGCTTGTTTAAATACAAAAAAAAAATACATTAAAAAGCCAAAGCGCAACAATTACAAAGATTTTGTTAAATTTGATCAACAGTGGCCAGAAGGACTAAAGTGCCGGGATGCCAATAAGTACTTAACCCAACCCTGTAAAATATACTATTTTTATGTATTTTCAATAAAATGTCGACAAAAAATAAACATCTAAGAGTTAATCTAGCGCTGGACAAAACTAAATATCTTTATTTATCAATTATAAGTAATACATTTATTAAACTATAATATTTATTGAATCTCCTTGGATGTTGAATTACCCGCCAATCATATTGATGAGTAGAATTGTTCAAAAATCAGTTCGGTGGAATAATGACTTCTAATTGATTTCCATTCTGCCATTTTTATTTTGGCTTTGTTTTCTAATGGATGCCTAAAAAATGTGCTCAGCGTAAACGCATGTGTATTTTTTAGAACGATGAGTTGCATGTTTTGTGATAAAGGTCAGAATCATAAATATTTTTTTGTATTACTTAAGTATGGTGATTTAAAAAAAAATTGTTTTTAACACTGTAGGACTTGATTTGGATACAGCAATACGTCTTTTGGAAAATATAGATTTTTACCCTATTATAAATCAGCCTCCTGTAAAACCTAAAGGTGGAGAAGTGTTTATATATCTGCCAGATACTGTCGAAGAACAAGGTAGATAAATTCTTTTTTTTATTATCAATGCTATTCTATCCTTTTGATATACAATTTGTTTACACAAATATTTTTTTAGTGTTTGTTTTTTATTTTCATTGATTTTTATAGAGATTTTTTTTGCTTGCTAAGAACATATAAAGTAGTAGCAAGGGCATGGAAAATTTAATTGCAATTTAATTTTTTACAAATATGCTACCAATTAAGTAATTGCAATTATTATTGAGTGCAATCAATTAATTGTAATCTTTGAACAATTCCATAAATTCCAAAAAAAAACGTACTTTAAATATATATGTAATCATTACATATAAATTTTAAGTACGTCTTAAATAAAAACTCATAAAAAATAAATTGAAAAACAAAATTTATTTGAAGAGTAAGTCACTAAAAAAATCAGTAATTTTCATTATTCATCATAATATCTGAGAGCATTTTTCTGTCCCAAAATCGTTTGTTAGCACACAAAAACATTTGCTTTCAAGATTTGATTGAAGTATATTATGTTGTAAATGGCCAATTGTGTAACCTGCCACACTGAAAAATCTTTCTGCAATATTTGACATTAGCACCAGAAACTTGCAGTTCACATATCTTGAATCCGAAGACATTTGTTATTGGTTATGTGTCAATCTATCCTTAACCTTATATGCGTATACAGATTGAAATATTTATACATGCGTATTATTGCTTATGCGTCATTTTATCTTTAACTTTTTATAGTTAAAAACAATGCTAAACTAAAAATTACATAAAAGTATAATAAAATCTTGGTAAATAATATTAATGTCAAAATTTATCAATTATCAATTAATTGCAATTTTAACACAATCAATTAATTGGTTTAACAAATATTTTCAATCAATCAATTGGTAGTGAAAATTTTTCAATCAATTAATTGCAATTAATTGTTTGCCCAATTAATTTTTCCCTGTCCTTGAGTAATGGGCATTTTGTTTGTCTGTTGTATTATTATTGTGTTTGTCTGTTGTTGTATTATTATTATTATTATTATTAGTAGTAGTAGTAGTAGTAGTAGTAGTAGTAGTAGTAGTAGTAGTAGTAGTAGTAGTAGTAGTAGTAGTAGTAGTAGTAGTAGTAGTAGTAGTAGTTTTTTATTTTCTGGGGAGTTCTTTTTATTATTAGTTAAAATGAAGGTTTTGATTATTTTAAATTTTTTTATGAATAAAAAGCACAACTTAAAGTGAGTTACACAATTTTATCTTGACCTTGTTATCCATACATGATTTGTACAGGTTATTCTTATTGTAGATTTTAGTTTTGAATTTATGATTTAATTAAAATTAAGGTATGTAAGGTATATAAAATTAAAGTATGTCAGTAATTTTAAAATTAAGGTATGTAGAGATAGGGTTGTCATTGTTCCATTTTTTCTGCAGAAGAGCTCAATAAAATTTTAATTAGTTTAATGCTGTATTCTCCTACTAAAAACTGGGAAAATGGACAATAAGACAAATAAGAAATAAATGCAAACCTTCCCAAAAAGTGTGTGTGGTCGCATGCCTTGCTTGTCCACGTTTAAAGATTTTTTTAAACATACTGACCATGGTTTTGCACTTTTTAACTTATAAAGCATTTTTAATAATTCACGGCAGAAAAGCTAAACTTTTCTATGGAGGAAAAAAAAAATACTAAAAAGGAAGCAAAATTGTAACTAAATAACAAATTTTAATTAGACTAAAAAAGTTTAACAATTAAAAAAATTTTTTTTTTTACAAAATGTTTATGCAACTTTTGAATTTTTTTTTTTTTAGGGTGGTTATTATTTTTTGCTACCAAATTTGATACAAGCTGATGAAAAAAACATATACTTTATAACAATTTTAAAACAATTGAATGTTTTGATATGCAATTTATTTACAATTTTTATCATTCCCTGTAACTAAGAAACTAATTTTCTATATACACTAGAACTATGAGAAATTTTGTTAATTTTTTTTCTTATGTTTATTTGTTTTCACGTCTTTTTGCTTTGAAAAATGTTTTGATCCAAATGACCCTGCCTGGCTCCATTGCCTTGGTAATGAACTAAATTAAAACTTTTCATGAAAATTATTTTTAGTGTGATAGAAAATGATGTTGAACAATTTTTTAAAAGGTATTGACTTACGCCATCAATTCCGATTGCTTTGTAAATATTTGACTTTTCTAGTTTCTCAAACTCAGGAAGTTCATCATTTATATTATTTGTAAAGACTCATTGAAAGTGTTTGTTAAATATATTAGCTATTGTTGTTTTGTTGGTGATTAAATTGTTGTGGTTGTCTTGTATTGAATTGACACTTAAGTTTAATTTTAGTTTTGATTTAACATACAAAAAGAATTTACTAGACTTGTTTTTTATCTTATTAATGAAAATTTAAATTGCAGTTTCTTATTATTTATATGGTTAGATAATTTTTAGCATATTTTTTATATTTCTTTTTTTTTTTTTCCAAATATGGTGTTTATTGTTGTGTTTGACATCTTGGATACATTTTGGATATTTGTACCATGCCATACCAAACCTTGCATACATCTTGAAATTTGTACCATGCACAATGTAAATATTAGATCGATTGAAGACAGATCTTCTGTGTTTTTATAACATGTCTGGAAATTTTTGTGTTGAATAAAATGACAATCATTAACAGTATTGATAAAATTTGATTCGCTTTTGAGACAGTTTGAATTGAATGGGTTACATTATATTCTTATAGTCAGCATAGTTGAAACCGCCTGCAATCACTCCTAAGTTTTAAGGTTGTCCTGTGCATAGAGAATTGTTGGCCTGTATATACATCCAAGCAGCAGTTTTTCTTTTCCAATTGATAGACAGCACCACTGTTGCTTGACACATTCATCATTTAGTATCTTTTGTTTCAGTACTGGTATATTTTAAATTGACATTAATCGCTATTCTACCCTGACGACTACCACATTCTTTTTTAAATAACTCATAGTTGGTAATATAAGAAACAAATGTTTCTGTAAACCATGTTTCTGTGATAAAAAATGTTGAAAATATGATGAAGGGCGATTGTTCAACTAAGTAGTAAGTTGATTTAGATGATGAAGTTCTGTGTTATGGTGGCAACGAAAAAATTACATGGAAGACCAGCATTTTCAACTCTTACTAATATTATTTCTTTTTTGCTGCCTGTTTTCCAAGTTTGACTTCCATCGAAAAGCAAAACCATAAAAGATTTGTTGGCAATAATTAACGCTTCTTCCTCCTTTATTGCCTTGGCAATTCAATACATGAGTTCTCTGGCTTAGAAATAAAGAATTTATAAAACTACCTTAAAGAAACAAAACATGTAAAAAAGAAATGCTTTATTAATAAAATGTGTAAAAAAAGTAAAATTGATAAGAGATTTCTATTAATTTATTATTGCTCTGCTCTTTATATTACATATATTGCTTGATAAAGAACATCGATAATATTTTTAAGAATGCGCTAATAATTTTTATTATATAAATATAAAGTACATTTATTTATGTCACTTTTTCCTTGTAATAATTATACACCATTGTCACGCTGAACCTTTACAAGCAATTCAAAATGAGTATGTGGCATAGCAGGATACAGAATTCTGAGGTTTTTAACTCAAACGTGTTGATTGTAATGGCTCTTGGAGGTGCTAATTAATACGATTTTAATTCCACTTGATAAACATGAATAATATTTTACCAGATTTTTCTGATGAAGCTGTATATCAATTTACAGGTTTCATTATAGAATCATGCGTTTATTGAAATATCTTTATTTAATTGGTTAAAGAATGGTATCTAATTTCTTAAGAAACTTTGATCAAAAAATGTTTAGAGAACATGGGTTCAGTTGTAAAAACATTATGCACTTTAAAATTATCTAGGAACATTATACATTTTACCACCTAAGCACAGGAAATAAGTAATTGAAAACAGAAGAAAATAAGGGAATACTTAAGAAAAATTGGTTTCCAAAATTGCCATGAACTGCCCTGGCAGTCTAAATCTTACTTCAAAATACTGGTGAAATTCTCACTGAAGATTAAAACCACACATTCAAATTAAAATCCTCAAAAAAAAAAAGGTGTATGAATGAGTACAATTGTACTAAAAATTATTTTACCATAGACTTATGGCATAGTATTTTTTAATAAAAATCCATTGAAGTTTCCATTCTGCTTTAAAATCTTTTATTCCATGATAATAGAAAAACAAACAAACAGTTTTTTAACTTGTTACTGATTCACAAGTAACATTTTACATTTAAAATAAATATATGTTCTATTTTTTTGATGTAAAAAAGTTCACAAGGAAATAGTTTACTCTTATTAATTGATATTAATATAAGAGTGGCTGGTAATTTTTTACAAAATATTTTAATTTTAATTTGGTTTGCAGTCAAATGCATATTTTTAAACGGTGGGCTCTTGGGAAGCTTGGGGTGGGTGGGAAAAATTTCTGAACAATAATAAATGTACCTCCTGTGTATTATGCATATAAGCAGGCTTGGTCAGGAAGCGGGTACGATCACACTCTATATCTGACCATGCATATAATATTTAGTTGTGACAACATGGCCACGCCTTTTTTAATGCTTTAAGAACATTTCAAAAAGCGCAAAAATAACTTGACAGGAGACAACTTTTAAAAAAGTTAACTAAAATAAGAAGAGTTCTTAAAGAATAAAAAGGACTTAACTAAAACAAAATAGATTGCGTTTAAAATAAACTTCTCTCTTTTATAACTTTTTTTATAAAATTAAGAGACACTTTTATAAAAAGTAACAACTTACTATTATCGTTTAGTAAAGAAACCAATGTTCTTCAATTTATCAAATCATATAATATAATTATTTATTAAAGTATTTAAACAAGATTCTAATAAAACTAACAGCAGTTGAATTATGTAATAAATAAAAAAGTAAGTACTTTATAATCATTTCATGCTTTGTGTAGTTTGCAATATATAATATAAGTTTAAAATATTTAAAACAATTTATCTTATTA